TTTTATCCCAAAAAAAAAAACAGAAGGCAAATCATGAAACAACAAAGAAAAGTAACAACCATTGCAACATAACTAATATGCAGGGTTTTAAAACCGGACCGAACCGGCCGGTTCAACCAGTTGAACCGGGAACCGGCTCCTGGTTCGGTTCGATCGACCCTTAAAAATCGGTCAGCAGAGAATCGGTCAACAACCAGTTAAACCGGTCAAAAACCGGTAAAACCGGACAAAAACCGGATCGGTTCTCATGAAAGAACCGGAAAAATTAAAAAAATAAAAAAATAAATTAAAAAAAAAATTACATCTTTCTTGATATTTAAATGAAAAGATAGAATTTAATTTGTAAGATTAAAAATTTTTTTTCAATTTATAAAATCTATATTTTTGAAAAAATGCATATTTAAATTTTTTTTTTTGATATATAAAAAAATATATTAATTAATATCAATCGGTTCGACCCCGGTTCGACCACGGTTCGATCAATGAACGTGAACCAATGTCTCGTCCGGTTCAATGACCGGTCCGGTTTTTAAAACCTTGCTAATATGTAAATATATTTCCCTTTGTTAAAAGCTAAACCTTATATATTTAACCTTACATATATAAATATGTACACCCATGCGATTTGCGAAGCACATCATCATTAACCGAGAGTGAGCTTCCTCTTTCCTGTGTATTTATGCAGTCTGCTACTAATAAAAATCTTGATTTTACAGTAAATTTGAAGACACAACAGAAACACTCTAGGAATTGTCAGTTTATTTTGCAATGTATATTTTTGTTTGTCCCATTTCCCAAATCAACATTATCAACTAAAACAACCATTCGCTGTGTTCTTCATTATTCATGTCATAGTCTTACCTGTGAGCATCGCCGCCCTCATCCACGGCGGAGAGGAGCATAGCCGCAGGTTTTATGGGTCTATTTATGCAGCAACCATCAGAATATCTTGTGAGTCTATTTTAATTTTATCTTCCTCCTGGGTCCTTTTTTTTTTTTTTTTCTTTTCGTGTTCAATCTTTAATATTCAACCAATTAATATGCATCCATCAAGATAAGATGCAGACATGAAAAGTAGAGAAGAAAAACGATGAGGGTTCAAAGTGGAGAAGAGAATGTATAAATACAAATACTTGGTGGCTTTGTTATTTCTTAGAGGAATTTTCTTTCATCTTAACAGTGACCTGACCCACAAGAAGTTGATTGATTAATTTCTATTCTACATGCCATAGAGGAAGAAGACAATCAGGGAGGGAGATTTTTTTTTTTAAAATAATTTATTGTTTAAGGGACATTTTGGGCTTTTAATAGTTCTGATTAAATATAAAAAATATTTTTCCCATCTTGTTAATAATCAACCAAACATAATGATGAGGAAGAACATTGCACTGCACTGTATTACATCATTAAAAATGTTTGCAATTGAACCAAACTGGGCCCCTAATTTGGCATGAATTTAATTATAAAATATTTTCCCCATCTTGTGATGTGAATTTTTTAATTTGATAAAATATGGATAGGTCTAGTTAGGATGTAGTTTGCTTTGGTAATGTTTTAATTATAAATAAGATATTTAAATTTTAAATATAACTTTCATATTTTAGTTGAGATTCTTATTTATAATTTTCAAAATCAATTGTTCTAATTTATCATTTTTTCAAAAAAATTATGCATATTCAATTGTCATAAATTCAATCTCTTAAAATTTAATTTGAATTTTTTCTTTTACAAAATGAAATTAAATTTTTATATTTTTATTAAAATATTATATAATTCTATAGTCAGTTACATAAATTTTATTACTCAAAATTTTTATAATTAGGTTATGTTGTTTCAATAAATTTTATATACATAGATTTTTCATAGAAAAATTAGTAAAAATTTAAACATTTTATTAAATTAAATTTTGTTTTTTGGCTAAAAGTATTCAATCAATTTTTTTTATATATTTTAAAAAATTTGAAAATATTAATTATTCATTAATAATTTTAACCTTCAAAGACTAATATATTTTTTGTCAATCAAATTATAAGGACTTAATTAAAATAAAATAAACTAGAAGAAACTAATTTAAAATTAATAAAAATTAGATGGACTTAATCATCACTTCTTCCAAAATATCTAAAGTTTTAGTTACATTTTAAAGCCTGACTGAGCAATTATGGTTTAATGGCATTGTTAATTTTCTTTCGTATTCAATGTCCTTCTCTTCCTTTTGTGATATATTTAATGTTCTCTCTGTTTCATTTTATAAGACATTTTTTAATAAAATTGTAAATTCTAATGAAGTCAATTAAACACAGTTTAAAATTTTAAATTTTTCAAAGAAAAATACTTCCTCCTTTTTAAATTATAAGACACTTTTAGATAAAATCTCACATATCAATAAACCTCATTAACTATACTTAACAACCTTATCTTTTCAAAATAAAAAGATAAACTTTTCAAATACCATCATTTAATATATTGAAAGGAGAAATGATGAAAATTAATTATAAAGAGAGAAAGATTAACATTAGAATTGGTGCATTTAATGAAACTTTAATTTACTCAAAGTATTTTATATTTTAGGACGAAAAAACTCTTTCAAAAATGTCATATAATTTAGGATGGAGAGAGTATAAACTAAAAAATTTCTTTATTTAACAAGGAATAGAGAAAGAAAAATATTTAATGACTGAAATGATGAAAGATAATTTTAAAATAAACCTCATTAATAAATAATTATTTTTCTCAAAACGTCCTATATCATAAAACATCAAATCACTCAAAAAAATTCCAAAAAAAACCAAATTAATGAATATTTATTTATCCAGCAATTGTTAATGTAAAATGAAACTTGAGAACTTACCTTAAAAAAAAAAAAAAAGTGAACTGAAAGCAAAGTTTAGGATTGAATCCCCTTACTATAACAAATTAAAGAAAATCGATTAAAACTCCTGGAACACTCGTTTTATATAATACTACATACATACGCACATGACACATTCGTGTGTGTACGTGTAAGTTCCATCTTCATTTCTTCCCAATTTAGTGCAATTGAAGCCATCGTTGAAAATGGCTGCCTTTTCAGATGTCACCTATGCTCATTAAAATTTGGCGTATTAGAAATTCATTAATGCCATCATTTTTTTGAATGTCATCATTTGATGTATCAACAACGCTCAAAGATAATATAAATTAATATATTCATGTTTATACCGCCACTGTGATGCACAAAAGATCTCACAGGTTTCAATATGAATATATTTTTTTTAAAAAAAATTGGGATATGATCATAAACTTTAATTCAGTAATTATCATCACTATTACCCCAACCACACCCTTAATTTAATATTTTTATCACCATCACCATGATGAGAACACACATCACTCATTATACCACTACCAATATCGTAATATTGTTATTGTTAATGTCGACATAATGTTACCATTATCACCATGGTTATCACCGTTACCATACTTTGTAGCCACCGTAGATAAAATCACCACCATCATGACTGTCGCCATTATTATTTTCAATGTCATAACTATCACCATAATTACTACTCTCACTATATATAACCAAACCACAAGGAATAAAAAAAGTAGCTAAATTTAGACTTTTTTTTTTTGAATACATTAGTCATAATATTTCAAAATTGTCCTTCATTAAAATCTATAACTTCATTAAAACTTTGGGGGAGCATATCAAAGGCCCTGAAAACAAAAAAAATTGCACTGGAAGCCCATTATATGCTGATTTTGCATTACAAGTTCAAAAGCTCTTGTTATAATTTTTTTAAAAAGTGAAAGTATAATTTTACTCCTGTGATTTGAAAACTTAAATTATATACAACATAATATTTACGAGTACATAATACAATGTTAATAAATTTTTAACATAATATCCATACGTATTTAATTGATCAGTAAATTTAATAAAATATATAAGTGATATAAACAATATTAAACACCATGTCTATACATGTACAAGATAATATTCAAGCATTCCACGCATAGACATTATGTTAAAAATTTATGAACGTTGTGTTAAAAATCCATTAACATCTTATTGTGTGCCCATAAATATTATATTGTATATGCTTTATGTGACTTAAATATTTTTATAGATTAACTTAATATGCATAAATATTGTGTTGAAAATTCATGAATATCATATTATATATTCATAAATATTGCATTATACATACTCTGTCTGACTCGTATATTTTGATTTACAAATCAATTAAATATGCATGGATATTGTATTGCAAATTTATAAATAAATCATCCTTTTTGATTATTAGAAACAAAAATAAATCATCAATAAATCCCATTTGATTATTAGAAAAAATAAAAAGAAATGAATTAAAAAAAATTAACACAAAAATAAATTAAACCATCCTTTTTTCTTATAATAAACATAATAAAACTTATTAATATATTATAAATATAAGAATCATAACACCTTTCAAAAATTATGAATAATGATTTTTAACTTCATGAATTAAATTATTCCCTCTTATGATTGTGGTTCACTATTTTTTTTTTGTTCATTTTATTTTTATCTTTATTTTTTCAATCTATTCTATTTTTCAGGACCAAAGGAATTTACTTTTGCCACAATTCCTTTCAACCCCACAATCACCACCATGCCATCATTACTTCTTCTACCTTGTCACTGGCATTACCTCAATTCTATTACCAATTAGAAATAACTCCAGATCAAGTCGAAATCTATTGTGTACAGTAATAGCAATAAATCTCGAATATATGATTTGAAAAGGAAAAAAAAAAAACGGAATGCTAACTCTGATACTAAAACTACCGATAATCAAGAAAACAGACCTGATCAATCACTTACTCATGTAACCAAAGTATACACGGAAGAACGAAGAAGCCACTACTACTTAGTGGCTATAATAATTCACACTCAAGTCTTTGCCTCTTCTTGGATGGGCACAATTCATGATGTCTTTCCACATTAAAAAAAAAAAAAATCATCAGCACAAACTAGCTTCATTTAAAATCTTAATCCCTTGATTCATAAGGAATGTACCCACAAATCTAAGGAAACGGTTTATATATGTAAATAGCACTAATGAATTTTCAGAACCTATTGATCATGGTGGTAAAGTCTAGAATTCTCTCTGCATAATCACGATACAAGGCAATTGATCCCAGACGCTGAAAAATTCAATAATTTTGAGTGCTACTTGCAAGCATAGAAATACATGGGGGAAAAAATCTGGTGCCATACAACAATTACACGGGACATTGAGCTAAAGGTAGCACATTATGTTAGATGCACAACAGGAATGACTCAATTCTTACACGCTTTTTTGCTTCCTACCAAGTAGCATCCAAGGTTCTCCATGCTTGAACCATTCCCAAAGGACATCTCCCATCTGCAAATTGAAAAATAATGATGATTTAGTAAAGTCAACAGATAACTAGACAATAATATCAACATTTTTTTAATCTATTATAGCCAAGAGACAAGTAAACCAACATGCATGACAAAAGTTATCACCAAAGATCGATTCACTAGTCATACAATATGAAGAATGTAGATGCACCCCCCCCAAAAAAAAAAAAAAAAACCAAAACAAAAAACAAAAACAAAAAGAAGCAAAAGCACATCCATTATCATTGGACTTCTTAGCAATCATAAGTGGATAACAACCTTAACCCTCATTGTTATTCATGCTTTACCTAATATTGGCTCAAATTGTCAGTTTGAAAAGCTAATGAAGCATCCTTTTGTCCATTAGCGAACAAGATCAGAAAATAGTCATCAAAGTGGCATGATTCAAATTGTGAGATTTTCAATAGTTCAACAACCTTCCGGCAATACCAATCACACAGAAAATGGAGAACGCCTTAAATAGGAACATGAAAACTGAAATCGTGACAATACAGTCTTCAAACAATTTATGCCATGTTTCTGCAATGCAGCTCCATTTTCTGATGGATTCTGATGTTGGATCCATTGTGACCTAAACATGAAAATTCATGTTTTCCAAACCTGGCTTTCTTCTCCTAAAGACCTTATAAAGAACTCCTAATTTTAAACCCCATAGTGCACTTAGGGTTCAAAACAGCTTCATTTATTACTTTAAACAGCTCTTTTGAGTTTACACTAATTGATGAACTCCACTGTAGTTGTTGGCTGCATGGTGGATTGGTTACTTTCCATGGCTAGTAGTTACTTAATGCCCTTCCCATATTTCTTCTCAACATATCCTACATTCAGGTGCCGCTCTACTCAAGTGTTGAAGACGAGTTTCATAGCATCTACGCAGGGCAGTGGTTTTGAACTGTTTGTGTTCAAGTTTCAACGTCTTTACTCTATGGAACTATAATTCAGTTTCAGTATGACTCTAAAATCAAAGTATTGTAAAACTTCAAAGGTCATATCTTTTACTATAATTGTATAATATATACAACATATATTTCAAGGAATATTTCACTTTGTTCACGACTCTTATGATTTGACATATGCTTTACTATTCACAATTAAAAAATAATAATAATTTCAATTTGTAATTCAACTCATCATTTGACAACTATGACCAGAAAAAAATATATGCAATCCCACAATAAGGCAACAAAAATGACAGGCGCCCAAATGCTTTTCATACACAGGCATAAAAAAATATTCTACCTCGCAGTGTAAAATAAAAAGTCCTTATGATTATTCTGTATTTGTACTGAAAAGATTGCACAAAATTAATATGTTTTTGTCCTCAGTGACTAAATCAGACTTATAATTCTACTAACTAATGACCATAATACAAGACCAGAGAGATTCTAAATTTAGAAAAGAGTCACAAGATCAGGCTGCAAAATAACTGCAAAGAATGAGTAGAAGCTATGGCCTGTGATGATAAAATATGCAAACTTCAAAATTATGTATTATGATTATGATTAAGACCCTGTAATGTAAATAATTAACTTTTATTATAAGGCATACATTTAACCTGACTAGAGATCTAAGAATTCAAAAATTCGAAAGTATAAACAATCAAGATTATAAATAGGCACACAACTTATTTTATAGTTTCACAATAAACATTGGACCAATCTAAGGAAAACTGCTAACAGTATGAATATCATAAAGAATGCTACAAGAGCAAAAATACAAAAAAGAAAAGAGGAGAAGCTCCTGGAAATCCCTCTTGAATTTTAAGGCAATATGTTTTCCACAATTAAATTGAACTACCCCTCTAATCCTATTTATAAATCACTTTCACCATTATCATAAGAACCAAGAAAAATCTTAAACCTCATTAACTCTGCTTAAAAATTCAACAAATTTCCAATTTAACTCCTATTAAATATACCTAATTTAAAATAAAATCCAAAACAAACAATCTTTCTCTGCCCTATAAGTAGGACCAGAAGAATGCTTTTCAAGCTATGTATCCAAGCTATGTATCAACAATGCATTAACTAAAGCTCTGCCTTAGTATGATGAAGTAACAACCAATAACTTAAATAAAGTATACAAGAAAAGCAGTATATCTACAAGCTTGAGATGCTTTTGCTCGAAACATTGAAAAAGGGGAAGAGAGATTATTCTGTTCATCAGTTTTTGGTATATCATTTTCATTGTTAAAAAAGGAAACTTGAAAACTTAGCTACTCTATACAGTTTTACAAGTAATGGGGTATCAACTACATCAGAAAGAAGTGACCCAGATAACTAATCACTCAAATGAGGATTATATTGAATCAAAGATCCCCGAATGAGGGAGAGTTCAGCATTAAAAATAACCGGCTAAACATTACTTCAGTCGCGGCAATCAAAGTTGGGCTAAACCTGACGAAAGAGGCACTGGGAAAAGGCTTCAATCGTACTATATCTTAAGCCTAACAGCAATTACCCAACCTTCAAATCCGAGATAACCCTAATCAACGTTATGGTCTAATAGAAACTAGTACGCAGGGGACAAACCTAACATACCTCAAAAACAGAGTTAATCTACCGATTCCTCTCCGCAGGCAATGGGCGATTAAAACCTCCTCGCCTGTTCATGTACTGCCTGGGCTGCCGCTTGGTCACTGCTCTAACACCACTCACATCCGCACCAGGCACCGGCTTTCCTTTGGTCGAGTCAAACCCAATCGGAATCCCTAATTTCTTCATCATCTCCATCTCATCCTCGTCCATCCCATTTTCTCCCTCCGCTCCGACATTACCACCGCCACCGTCATTATCCTTATGCTTCTGCTGCTGCTCCTTTGCAATCCCATCCACAAAATCTGAGACCACCTTCTGAGTATCCCTATTATCTTCCGCAGTAGATTCTCTACGATGACGCTTCCTGAGAGGTTCAGGCGACGGTGTCCGGTGGTGATGATGCCGCCGGCGGTGGGAGCGTTCGCCTGGAGAACGTGAACGCGAGTGAGAACGGTAAGGGTCAGGAGAACACGTGCGGGAGCGCGTGTGGCGGGACCTGCCCTTGTCAGGTGTGCGAGAACGGGATCTCTTACTGCGTGTTCGATCTCGATCTCGTTCTCGTTCTCGATCTCGATCGCGTTCACGGTCACGGTCTTCCTTGTCTCGTCTCCTTTCTCGGTCTCGATCGCGAGCTCTGTCGCGGTCGGCCATGGTGCAAAGCAGAACTTGATTTCATGGATAGCATTTCGGCCCTATATGGCCAATACCCAATTCCAGGACACAGGAGTAGAGTGTCAAAGCCCCGGATTATCCTCTCCTAAGTCCTAACTAAAGCACTCGCGTAATATTTGTACAATGAAATATTTAAGGGTAAAATGAAAAGTTGATCATTAAACTATAAACTCAAGAATATTTAAAATTTTAAACTTGCTTTTTATGCAATCTTATGCTCTAAATATTAATATTTAAAATTACGACAACCTCCTCCATCCTTAAAATTAAAAAATATATAAATATTCATTACTTTAATAGTGTTGAGCATAGAAGTTTGAACATGACATGCATTGCACCATGGCCCGAACTATAAGCCATGCGTCCTAACATCGGGGTCTACATTATTAAAATAACAAACATTTTCTCAATTTTAATAGCAAATGAAAAATTGTTATGATTTTTGTTTGTGCTAAAATATGAAACATTACGAGTTAAAACATTGGATAGGTCATAAAGTTATTTGGGCTAAGTGATTGAAGAGTCAGATTCAATCAACAATTTAAATGAAAGGGCCGGCCCCCAGCTCAATGGAAAGCCATGATAGAATGAGCATGCTAAAATCTCGCTAATTACAAGCCTTGGACCATTGACCCATAAAGACACGATTTTAAATGATTTCAAAATCCACGAGAGTAGCATTATCGTATCCAAGTATCTCAGTAAGACGGGCTAGTTGCAAAAAATGGAAGATACTGAGTAAAGACCGTGCTATGAATTTCGTGAGATCCTTGATTCTTCGACAGAATGTTATAGGTCTTAAGGGAGAAACTACCGTCAATCTGATACTATAAATAGGATATCAAAGCACAAAAGAAAGACAGTCAACACTCAAAAAAGACTCGCATTCTACACCCATAGCTTTTAGGTTTATCAGTTAGTTTTATCTTCAATTTAGACTTGTAATCTTTTTATATTTCAATAATAATAAAAAATACTTATTCTATCAAGTCTTGCATATCTCTTACATCTGGATGAACTGTGATAAAAGAGCTCAGGACTCTTTTATTATCAATTGAGACTCAGTGTCTCTAGCACACCAAGTAATTTGTTGTTCTTAGACGAACAATTTTAAATGTTTAAAACTGAAAATATACTAAAAATAAGTTTAAGATCCTAAATACTCTTGAATATATAATTTAAAAGCTAAATTGTCAATTGACCTAACTTTTAAAATTTCAATTCCGTCTAGGTGAGATATAGATTGATAAATTTTGATTTTAATTTTAAATTTAAAATATTATATATAAGTCTCATGTATTTAAAATGACTTTTTTTGGTAATCATGTACTTAAAATTATTTGTTTGGATGGTATAATTTTTTTTAAAAAAAGATGCATTAATATTCAAAATAAAAACAAAAGAGTGAAACTAAAAATTTTATATATATTCAAAATACAAAAACTGAAAATAAAGTGGACTTGTTTGGATACTAAATATAATATTTATACAATAAAATATTTAGTTATTTCAAATTCATTTAGGGGACATTTAGACTAATGAATTTAGATTTCGATTTTACATTTCACATTTATTATTCGTAGTTCTATTAGATGCAGTATGTATTAAGGTTCAAGAATTAACTAAAAGGAAAGAGGCATCACTACTAAACAAAGTTATATATAGAGCTTTCTATACAATAGTTATTAAAAAAATTGTTGCATGATTGAAGTGGGATTCAAAAAAAGAGATTATATAATAGTTCTTTCAAAATAACCATTATACACTAAGACTATACAATGGTTATTTTGAAAGAACCATTATATAATCTCTTTTTTTTTATTTTTTTTCTAAAGACCAATTGCTATACTTTTTAAAATAATCGCTGTATAGTCTTAACTATACAGCGATTATTTTAAAAAATACCGCTATATAGTCTCTTTTCTTTTTAATTTTTTTAGAGATTATATAGCAATACTTTTTAAATAATTGCTGTATAGTTGGCTATAGAGCGTTTATTTAAAAAGAATCATTGTATAGTTTTCCGACTCTAAAAACTTTTAAAATGCATGCATTTTTATGACACACAGATTGATGATGTCATTATATCTGAACCATTATTTTTTTTATTTAGTGGCATACATACTCTCTCTTCTCTATATCATAGAGGAGTTATGTTATATGACTTATTTGTATTTAGATTTAAGAATTTTGACCCATGTGTATTTCACAAGAGAATATTATATTAAATCTCAACATCCCAATTTGAGAATAATAGTCAACATTTTGTCCTAGTGGTAACGTTATTTCCCTTGCTTAGATGAAGTTTTAGGTTTGAATTTAACATTAACATGTTTATATGCGAGCATGCATGCGTGCGTGCGTGCTTCTCTTTCCTATTGAGAAGGGCTAAGTTAGGGCTAAAATGAAAAGAAAAGGATGATAGTAAATCTTGAATCTAAGATGTCTCTCATTGTAGAGGATGATCATATTTGCCACCATATCTCGCATTTAGTAAGTCCATAAAAAAGAAATGGAGGATAGTAAATCTTGAATCTAAGATATTTCTCATTGTAAAGGATGATCATATTCGCCACCATATCTCGCATTTAGTAAGTCCATATGACATTTAAACTTAGTGATTTAAAATTGTTTGCATAAAAGCATACCAGATTTTATAGCTAGTATTTCAGCTATTGTAAGAGAAAAATAGACCTAACTTCTTTTGAATTCCTAAAACCGATTTCCATGATAATCTCTAATAACTCCTCTATAAGTAGCATTATTCTTGTTGATTCACTAACCCATCCATATCTAATCTAAGATAGTTTATTGGTGGAGGGGGCCATTTATCTTCAAAGCTTTTTTCTTTTTGGGTTAAAAAATCTTATGTTGGAATTTTTCATTCTCCACCATTATTTTTACAAGCTGATTGATAACACTGAATTAGCTTAGTTGCTTCATATTTCAGCCCCTCCAAAGTGATATGAGTGACTTGCAACTTAAACATCAAACAACTAGTAGAATATTCTTGAAAATACTATAAAATACTTGGTTGAAATTTCAATGAGCAAAATTTTCAACAAGTCTATAGTCACAGAAAGAACCACAACTCTATTACAAGAAATGAAATATTGATAGACTAAGGAAAAATAAATAAAAACCACAGATGGTGAAGATTTTAAGAAACAAAAAGGGAAATCCACATAGAAAGAAAATAAACACTACAACCAAAATATTTCACACCCTCTCCAATCATTTGTATAGCCTTTATTTTGAATCAATCCTTGAACCATGTAGTAGGAATTTGCCTTGTTTGAGCACCATGTCTAGTGGTCTATTGCAATATGCTGTGCTTGACATTATGGTTAGGTTCCATCTGTCCCATATAGGGACTAATTCCATTTTTTAGCACAACACAAAGCTCCTTGGTGTCTATTTTTCCATAACCCTTGGTTTAGATGGGGAGAAAAGAAAACTAGGAGGAAAAGTATAACATCCTAAAATTTTTAAAATAGTACTAACTGAATTAATTAAAGAGTTTAATTAATTAATTGAGATTTTTAGGGGTTTATTAAAGTGAGTGGATGGACCCTATATGGGGTCAAATTAAGGTTCTTCATGCTATGTCATCTATCGTAAGGGACACGACATGTAGGAATTTGAATTCCAAACTCATGTTTTAGTCATAGAAAACATAAGAGAGAGTTATAAATTGAGAGAGAACAAGAGTGGCTTTATTAGGGTTTACTTACATGTGATTTAGTGGCCATTTAGGATTGCTAAACTTTTAAGAACGTAAGTCCTTACTCTCTCTACTCACCCCCTTCTAGGTGTTTTCTTGGGAGTTGTTAGGTTGGGAAGGTTATGTCCAAACCTATGGCTAACTTTCAACCATTCATAGTACTTCAATAGAGTCTAATAAGGATGGTTGTTCATGTTTCTATCTTATGGGTTTTGCTAATGAGAGTGATTTGTGGCATTAATGATAGGTTTAAGCTTAATCCTAACACTAAATAGCTTAGTTAATGAAAAGTATTGTTTAAGCTAATGAGAGGTTAAATAAGCTAAAGGAAGCTAGTAATGAGTTAATTTATAGCTATACACACCAATAGGAGTCTTTGGTCTTAACTTAGGTTAAGAGTTAATTAATGATGATTATTCATTGATGATATTTGATGGTAATAATTTTAGTTTAACTACTATTGGAGCTTATTGTGCTTCTATGAAGTTCCCTTGGAATCTAAAGTTATCTTGGTGTGGTATACCAAGATTTAAAGTAACTAGGAGTTAAAGTTTAGTATATGATTGTTGCATTATACGTTGTTTTAAGATTTGGATGATGAGTCATGGAAATAATGACTATGCCTTGTTTGTATGAATATGATTTCAATGGTTGGAAGTAGATGCTTGACTTTATGGTATATAGCCAGGCATGGTTATGTTATAGGGAGTTATGGCATGATATTGAGAATGCGACAAATTGCATAATTATGGATAGATGAAAGCTCACCCGAAAGAGAGAGAGAGTGAGAGAGAGAGAGGGAGGGAGATCACATGAAGTTGTGAAAAATTGAATGTGAATGACTTTAATGTTGATGACATTTAAGCTTGCTTATCCTTGTTTATGATGTATGGTTGATTGATTGTGGTAGGATAATGGCTAAGAAATGGGTTTTGGGACGTTTGGTTGATGTTAAGAATGTATTATGAATGTTTATAGTCTTGAGTGTCCAATATCCCCATATGTTACTGGATGGTTGTGAGTTTAGAGCCATTAGTTATAGGTTATTAATTTATCTACATGTAGACGCTTGAATTATCTTAATTAGAGGTTCAACCAAAAAGTTGTGCATAGAAAAAATTGGAGTTTGGGAGCTGTCATGGAAGATGTGTTGTGTTAGAGTTTTATTTGGCCACAATGCATGACACGGTGAGTGTTAGCTACAATGGATGGCAATGTTGGCTGTGGGCGGATGCTTTATGTCACAAATTGTTATGAACAATCTTGTTATGTCTAAAATTACCTTTTTTTACCTTGTTTTCACTTGTTTATCATTTTAAATGTTTTCCATGCTTCCTAAATGATCCTTACTTTGATTAAAGTGTTTTAAAAGGATGCAATACTTATTTTCAAATTTAAGTTAAATTGGGTTCCATTTACACAAAAAACTTTTATAAAATCATTAAAATTCTAAATTAGCCAAGGTTGATTCTATCTTCGCTTGGCATCTTTCTTATTTAATTAATTAGTTTTAAGTATTGTGGTTTATTTAGTGGTTTAATGTTTGGAACATTGTTTTTAAAACCGGACCGGACCGGCCGGTTCGACCGGTGAACCGGTGACTCGGCCATGTGTCCGGTCCGGTTTTCTTTTTTTTTTTGTTTTCAGTTAACCCGGGTTAACCCGGGTGACCCGGGATTAACCCGGATTAACCTGCCCAACCCCTCGGTTCAGGCGGGTTGGGCGGGTTGAAATTTAAAAAAAAATTAATAATAATTAATTAAGATATATATTTATTTTTAACATGATAATGATTAATGATAGGTCAATATGAGTCATAGGGTAAAAAAAATATACTTATGTCAGATAAGGGGATGAAAGAAGTAAAAAGAAATCAAAAAGTATAAATATATATTATATTATATTATTTTTTAATTTGAATTATTTAATTAAATAATTTTTAAAATATATCACTTTCATTTATTATCTTTTATTTTAAAATAAATTTTTATTTCTATTATTTTAACTCATTGAAATTTTTTTATCATTTAGTTAACCTTATTTTAAAAAAATATAGAAATGTTGTTATACTTTATTATTGTTAGAATTATTGTTATATGTTATATGAGATATTAAGACTTGGATATGTATGAACGTATTGAGAATTAATACATTTTTTATTTAAATTATATTATTTTATTATGACCGGTCTGACTCCGGTTTGACTCCCGGTTGAACCCATGACCCCTGACCCCTGAGTTTGGCCGGTTCAATGACCGGTCCGGTTTTCAATACCTTGGTTTGGAACATTACAAAAAATCCCAAAAAATAGTAAAAAATAATTATTTTTGGAAAATTTTCCTTCTAGTTTTCTCTCCTTATTTTCTTCCTATTTTTCTCTCTATCCAAACTAACCCTAATGCCTTGTTGGATAGTATGGAAGAGTTTTTGATGAAAGTGAAAGTGAAAGTGAAAGTTAGGTGAAAATGAGTTTTAAAACATGTTTGGTATTCATATGAAAGTGTGGGTGATTTTTTATGTAGGAAGTGGGTTTTGGAATTGGATTGGAGAAGTGAGATCCACTACCAAATAACCTATTTTTTCAGTTCCACTTCAGCTTCCACTTCTCCAATCCTAGTTCCACTTCTCCAATATCCTAGTTCTTCTTCTAGTTGCCTTCTATTGTTCTAATTCCAAACTTGATCTAAGAATTTCTTTTCAACCAAACTTGTAATTCACTGGAGGAAAAAGATTGCACATGTATAATGAGGATAATAACATAAAGCCATACTTGTTAACTTTGCAATCTCAATCACAAAGAATATGAAGACTAGTTGGGACAATTTACAGTCAGACACTCCTCTCTTAGCTATGAGTCGGTCGGTAGAAAGTCTCTTGCGCAGAACTTGCCAAATGAAGTGTTTCTCCAAATATAAATAATTAAATGAATGATATTTTAGATTAATCAACACAATTTTTTCTAGGAATGACTAACTTAAATAATTTTTTTATATGTGCAAATTAGTCATGTAATTCTTACTTTTTAAAATTGGATCAAAACATCGTATATGACGATTATTGTCATTACAAAACTATAGTCACTTTCGTTTTATATGTGTTTTCTCTTGTTGATCCAAATGACCAAATACAAGGCATGAAGCTTCTTTAGATCTCCATATTTTTTCTTCCATTTTCTTTATTCTCATTCTCTACTCATCAAGTAAAGCATATAAAAGATTGTTATAAGAATTAATTCAAACTGTCTATTTTCAACTAAAAAAATTAATTAATGAAACATTTGTTGCAAAATTAATAATAAACAATGTCTTAATTAGTTATTACAATTTTGAGTGATAACATCAAAAAGACTTAAGGATGGCCTCTTACTATCTTTTATTATTTATTTATGAAGCTACCTAGCTTGAAGAATGAAAAGACTATTAATGCTATATGCTAATATGGAATGTTAGATAGCGCCTCCCTCGGTCAATGACCTTTTCTCATCACTTTTCTACATTTTTCTTTCTTTTTTTAAATGTTAAATGCTAAGATGCATGCATTTATTTTTTGAAGAGGATCCGGCCGCCTCAAATATACAAGACAAAAATATATAATCATGATATATCTATGGTTTAGCGATTTTTTTAATAATAAATTCAGCCGGCTTTTGTAAAATCTAAGTATTATATATTAACGAAAGAGTAAAACTTATTCAAATTATTATTAATATTATATAGAAGGTTTAGGTGAGTTGAATTGCTTCTTGAAGCTCATAGGCAAGACATACCTTAATACATAGAATAACGCTTACAAATATGCTTATAAATTACCTAGATAAAATTCTCATATCAACATCGAGATTTATTATTATTGTTGCCAACAAGAAATGCTTTTTTTAAAGTAATGGCGAGTATTCTTTTTACGGTTTCAGTCCATGAAAAAATAAAAAGGAGAAAAGTAGTAACCAATAGGTCTTGTGGCCATTTAAGTATGAGATCTCTAATTCTAATTTATGTAAATGCAAAAAATGTTTTTGGGAGATCCGTTACCTCCAATTAAACTTGACATGCTTGAATAATAATAATAATAATAATAATAATAAGCCCCTGCCCTTTTCGATAAATTGAACAGCTAGACCTAAATTATGGTCAAAAGTGACTTGGCAAATTATTTGAGCTTCTTTTTTAAACAGTAAAAATAAAATAAAATAAAATAAAGTGACGTTTTGCTTACAGAAAATTTCATCTGTAAAACGAGTCGTTAGAATATTGTGTTCCTTTCATAACAAGTTAATATTATGCATTCTTCAATGTCTTTTCGAAAGTTTTAGATGTCAAAATTGTTGCCTCTTACTGCTTTACAATCGTTGTGTGTTACAACCTCAGAACTACTATATATATGTGCGTACGAACCAAGCTTTCGTAATCTAATTAATCTCTTCAATGGCAGGCACAATAATGTCTCCATGTTGGTTGGTTCTTCTTATTATCATTCTCTCAGCCATAATGCTTCAGACAAGTGATGCAGCTTCTGAAGAGAACACAAAGGCAAGTATACATAACTCATCACTTTTCATTCTTCCTTTGTTGTCATCATTTCTATCTTCCTAGGTTTCAAGACATAGTAACTGTTACATACGTTTTGGTTTTGTAAATTTCTGTCTTTTTTAATATATAAGAATATATTTTCTTGTCGTTGTAATTTCTAGCCACTAATCTGTTTGTTGATACAGACTTATATAGTGTATATGGGTACTCCTCCAAGTGATAGTGATGTCCCAAAGTCAGTGCTTCACATGAGCATGCTCCAACAAGTCATTGGCAGGTAATTAAGTGCATTTATGGACTAATTAATACATATCTATGTGTACCAATAGGCGTTAATCCTAATGAAAGGGCCTGTGATTACTGAAGCACAAGGTCTCATGTTCAAGTTTGCATAAATGTAAAGAATAACTTGGAGAGAGTTACCCTTAATTAGACTCAACAATACTTGAATGTGACACAATCAAATAATCATGTCAGCTTATCATATATATATATATATATATTCAATTGTTTTTGTTCATATATAACAATTCAAATGTGGTGTATGTATGGCCAGAGAGAGAGCAGCAAATTCTCTAGTCCACAGCTACAAGAGGTGTATCAATGGGTTTGTTGTGAATCTCAAGGAAGAAGATGTGCCAAAAGTTGCTGGTAATTATAAATAACCACATTTACATGCATCCTTCTGTGTCAAAGTTAAACTTTGCTATCCTTTTCTATTTTTAACTTAATCTGTTGGATTGATTCAAGAGATAAGAAGACTTCAATCATTCCATCAAAACCAATGGACCAAAGACAATTGATAGGAGAATATAGTAATAATATTTGCTTATTATCATAAAACTAAGTCATTATCTTCATCAAAATGTATTTTGATAATCAAGTGTTTTGGGTTGTTGTCGTCAGCAATGGAAGGAGTGGTTGCTATATTCCCAAATGGAAGGAAACATCTACACACTACAAGATCATGGGACTTCATAGGATTTCCAGAACAAGTGAAAAGAGCAAACACAGAGAGTGATATAATCATTGGAGTGCTTGACTCTGGAATCTGGCCTGACTCCCCCAGCTTTAATGACTCTGGATTTGGTCCCCCACCCTCCAAATGGAAGGGAGCTTGCCATAATATCACTTGCAACAAGTACATTTCTATACATATAATTCCCATATCTATTTCTTGGCATCCATAACAGTTAGTTCATGTTTGATATATGGAAAAGCGTTTCAACCTACCATACATTATATTTCGTTCACACATTGTCTCATATCATATTCATTGCATGTATATTCATGCTGGTTCATTGAGAAATTTTTATCAACTCCAATTGTATGATATGCATTATATATGGCTGATAAATTTCTAGATCTTAATTATCTGTTGTTAAGAAATGGTGTTGTTAGGAAAAGATAGATATATCGGGTGGTTGGACTCCACATGTTAGGTGGATTTCACTCATAAATTCTCTGTTATTGTAAGGAAGCAGGATAGATACATAAAGGTGGGAGAGCCCCACATATATATATTAGAATTTCTCCTCCTCATGTTTTAACAAGGCAGCTTTGTTATATTCATGGTATATATAATATATCTACGCACTAATAACAATACCATTCCGAAATTGAACTGTGTGCAGTAAAATCATCGGAGCAAAATATTTTCGAAGTGACAAAAACTTTGGTGAAAATGACATCGTGTCTCCAACACATTCAAAAGGCCATGGAACACACACAGCATCAATATTTATGCTGGTTTTCTGATAAATTTTCATTAACTCCTTATATATGCGCAATAATTTTTTTGGTCAACCTTAATTCTCTGTTGTTGTACCATGGTGTTGTAAGGAGAAAGATAAATATATCAAAATTCATATTATAGATATATATATTTTCACCCAGTACCACATCTATCTGTTTCCTTAAACATCGTGCTGCCACAGCAAAAAGATAGAATCAGAATTCCTTCCTATATGTGTTAACAACGAGGCAGCTTCATTATATATTTTCATCGTTTATATCACTGCTACTAACAACAACATTCCAAAATTGAACTGTGTGCAGTAAAATCATCGGAGCAAAATATTTCAGAAGTGACGAAAATTTTAGTGGAGATAATATCAAATCTCCCATAGATTCTCATGGGCATGGAACACACACAGCATCAACAGCTGCTGGAGGGTCAGTGAGTTCAGCAAGCCTCTATGGTCTAGGCTTGGGAACAGCAAGAGGAGGAGTGCCATCAGCAAGAATAGCAGTGTACAAGGTTTGCTGGTCGGATGGATGTTACGACGCAGACATTCTTGCAGCTTTCGATGAAGCAATTGCTGATGGTGTCGACATAATCTCTGCCTCATTCGGAAGCCAATCACCTCAACACTACTTCAATGACACTTTAGCCATTGGAGCTTTTCATGCGATGAAACATGGAATCTTGACCTCCGCTTCCGCTGGTAACAATGGTCCCGGACTTACGACCACCAATAGTGTGGCTCCTTGGACTCTTTCTGTGGCTGCCACTACCACTGATAGAAAGTTGGTCACCAAGATTCAGATTGGGGATGATGTTCTTCAGGTAAAATTAAAATGGCCTTTGCTTAGTAGAGAGATCTATGTTGTATTTTTTTTAGAAAATGACAAATAAATCTCACCGGCCAAAGATACCATAAAATGGAATAATTATTTGGGAGAATGACAATTAAGGACCTGCTAAGAACATTAATCCCAATTATGGACCGTAAAATTTTGAAATCCTAGTTAAAGATCATGGTCCTTAATTGTGATTAAAAAAATATAATTTATGAGGTGAGATTCATTATTGCTACTTGGGAATTCATTAACCTAATTTGAAAAAATTTGTAACGTATATTGTGAAAACATGAAACCTCGCTTGGAAATGGAATGTTTAACAAAAAGCGCCACTTGAGAATTCACTAACTAAACTTGAAAAAATTTCTAACGTATATTGTGAAAATATGAAACTTCACTTGAGAATCGATTGTTTAATAAAAAACACCAATTTGAATAAGTCACTTTTTATTAATGATTTTTAAGCGGGGTTTCATTTTTTAACAATATACGTTAGAAATTTTTTCAAGTCTAGTTAGTGAATTCTCAAGTAGTGCTTTTTGTTAAACATTTCATTTTTAAGTGAGGTTTCATGTTTTCACAATATACATTAGTAATTTTTTCAAGTTGGATTAGTGAATTCTCAAATCGCGTTAGTAAATCCCACCTCACAAATTACATTTTTTATCACAATTAAGGACCATGGTCCTTAACTCTGATTTCAAAATTTCACGGTCCGTAATTGGGATTAATGTTCTTAGCAGGTCCTTAATTATCATTCTCCCTAATGATTTTGAAGTTTGCTTGGGACTTATCTGGCATTAATTTTTTTTTTTTTTTACAACATGACAAGACAACTTTTTTTTGCGTGAAAAAGATAAATGACAACTTCAAAGTAGCAAATGACTATTTTTAGTAAGCGGGGGACTAAAATAATGTAAAAAGTGATTACTTTTATTTTTCGATTTCATTTCGTAAGTGTTGAATTTTAAATGCAATGACAATTTTAGAGTAAAAAAATGATTATTTTTATTAAGTGGATGACTAAAATAGTACTTCTTTTATTTTTTAATTCCATTTTATAAATGTTGAATCTTGAAAGTAAAAGAAAGCTTTAGATTAACAAATGACTATTTTCATTAAGCCAGTGATTTAAATAGTATAGAAAATGACTACTTTCACATTTTTCAATTTTATTTCATTATTGAGATGATATTCTTGAGGTAAAGGCCTTCATTTAGGGCGGGATTTATGTTCTCCGACGTGAATTTTTTTTTTAATCCACAATGTTTGAACTTAAGAACGTGACATTTTAAAATATTTGTCACTAATTTGTTCGAAGGCATATTTATGTCATTTAGCGTGATCATTGATGTGTAACTTAAATACTCGGTCTTTGAAATAATGAGGAGTTTCATGTTTACTACTTGAGGATGTTCGTGAAGATTTGTTGTTTGACTTGTTTCTATATTTCACTTCAGGGACGTTCAATAAATACCTTTGACTTGAATAGTACTCAGTATCCTATAATCCATGGTGGGGATGCACCAAACACCCTTAAAGGCTATAATAGCTCCATATCCAGGTAATTTTTCTTTTCTTAAATAAATTCTCTCAGTTTTAATTATAATTTTACTCAAAGTAAGAAAATTAGAAGAGAGGGAAGTGAAATAAATAATTCATTGCTTTGGTTTAACCTTCAAGGATAGTACATAAGTCCTACCTCCTGCTAGCTATTATCTTTAATTATCTTTATTTATTTTGAAGCTTTGTTTAGAATGGAAAGAAAATAAAGAGGAGATAAATTAAGAAAGCTAGATCGAGTAAAATGACATTTTTACCTTTATTTTCTCCTAATTTTCTCCTAGAGATGGAGAAACCCAAAAGAAAAACTGTGTTAAAAAGCAAATGTCTTTTTTTCTTTTTCTCCTCACATCATCTCTCTTTCTCATTTTTGTATCGGGTAAATGAAATATACATGAACTTAATTTGGTGCAGGTTTTGCTTAGAAGATTCAATGGACCCGAATTTGGTAAAGGGGAAAATAGTTATTTGTGATGCCCATTTTGGACCTTTAAAAGTTGGATTTGCATCTGGTGCTACCGGCATTATAATAAATTTTAGTCAAAGCAAAGTTCCTGATATTGGCTTTGCTTTTGCCTTGCCAGCATCTGTCATCGGTTCAATGGATTCTAACATCATATACAACCTCATGGCAGATACTAGGTAGGTACATACATACATACATAAATACATAAGATTAGAGGGCAATTTGACACCTAAATTATAAGTCCAGGAGTGTTTAGAACCTTAAGTTCATTTTTTGTGTAATGTTCCTCTTAAATTTTAAAAACGATGTAATATGACCCCTATTATTAATTAAAGTTAATTTTAATCATTAGTTGATCAAAAATAACAAAACATAACAAAAAAACAAGTCAAGAAAGTTATATAAAATAACCCACAAAATTACAAACAATGACAAAAAAAAAGACTAATAAATCTATAATTTTTGAGATCTTTTTCTATTATTTTTTGATCAATTAACAATCAAAATTAACTTTTATTATTAGTAGAGGCTACATGGCACTGTTTTCAAAACTTAAGGGAAACATTGTATAAAAAACAAGTTTAGGGTTTCAAACACTCCTAAACTTATAATTTAGGAATCAAATTGCTTTTAAAACTATATATATACATACATGTATGTGTATGCATATTTATTTCTATCATCATCTTCATCATCTCACAAACCCTAACAAATTCTGAAATAACGAATCTCACTGCAGCAATGATATAACTGCGACGATACTAAAGAGCAGTCATGACAACGATTCTTTCGCTCCTGTTATAGCCTCTTTCTCATCAAGAGGTCCTAACTTAGTTACTCTTGACATCCTCAAAGTAAATTAGCTTCTTCTGCTCACCTCAAGTACTTTTTTTGAGTGATATAGATTCATGCAATTAACTAATTAACTACATGAATCATATGATATAATAAAGCCGGATATAGCAGCACCTGGAGTTGATATTTTGGCTGCGTGGAATCCAAATTCACCTCCTTCAGGAGTGAAAGGAGACAAAAGACAAGCACATTATAATTTCAATTCAGGGACATCAATGGCTTGCCCTCATGTCACTGCCTTGGCTGCTTATATCAAATCGTTCCACCCTGCTTGGTCTCCTGCTGCAATCAAGTCTGCCATTATGACCACTGGTGTGTTTGTGTATAATTATTCATTCAAAGATAATTCTTCTTTAGTATTATTATATGTTAAGTTGTACCACCTCTGCTCTTAATGTAAGGCAAAGTTAACTAACATTAAACTTGTTAAAAATGCTTGACTTTTCACTTTTGTCATCCTCCAAAATTTATAACCACAATGAAATGTCTCTAGGAATTACAACTAGTTGCAATTAAGGAAGTATAATATTGAGGGAAAAAAAAACAAGAGCTACATCTTTACTCCCTATTTTTTGGACTTGTTTATTAGGCAGCATGTCATTGAATTTTCATCATAAGTTTTTCATTTTACTTCCCATTAAATGTTGGAGGAAAACATATATTATTAAAGTATGTATATATATTTAATAAAGGTAAGATTAAAAACTGATTAAATTTTTAAATAATTAATAAGTTTTAATATTATTCTTGATTACGATGAAACATTTTAAAAGTTAACCAACCTTTTATCTAAAATGCAAAAGAGATTTGAGCTTGACTCCTTCGACTGATTTAAACCCTTCTAATTTCATCACATGCATGTCCGTTTTCATCACGTCATTGTATCACATTATTTGTTGTAACTTTCAATTTTTCTTTCCTTTCTTACAGCTACACCTATGGAATCTCCATTGAACGATGCTGAGTTTGCATACGGAGCAGGCCATATAAACCCAACAAAGGCACTAAATCCTGGTTTAGTATACGACGCTAATGAAACAGACTATGTCAAATTCCTATGTGGACAAGGTTACAATGATTCATTACTTCAAGTCGTAACAGGAGAAAATAGAACTTGTGCTCAAGTCACTCATGGTAGCGTGTGGGATCTAAACTACCCTTCATTTGCTGTGTCCACTATGTTTCCTCGATTGGACGAAGCTCGAGTTTTCACAAGGACTGTCACAAACGTTGGGTCACCAGCTTCCACATATGAGGCCACTGTGACTGCTCCAGAAGGACTCGACATTCAAGTGAATCCTCCAAGGCTGTCGTTTACTTCCTTGGGACAGAAGCAGTCATTTAATGTTACTGTAAGTGGATTTGTAACTTCCATAGCTTCTGCTTCTTTGGTCTGGGATGATGGCATGCATCAAGTGAGAAGCCCTATCACGGTCTTTCTCTATTATTAATTAATGGTTATTGATTATGAACTTTCGGTTTATGTGATGTAAGTGTAATATTGGTCTGATGATACGCACGAAGGTTGATGTGGTTTAATTTACGTAGTATATGATTGCAAGCTGTTATTGTGCAATTTTAATGGATAGATATACTTAATATATTTTTATCTAATCCAATCATGACAAGTGGATCAAGATGTATTAATTAAATTAAGAACAAGAATTTATTATAGAATAAATAATTTATAAAAAATCAACATGTTTTGATTAAATTAGAAACAAGTACATTAAATATATAAGGCTAAGATATACGTTTTCTCCAATTTAGGTAAGACATATATACTTAATATATTTTTATCCAATCAAATCAATCAAGACATGTGGATTGATATACTTATAACACTTCATGTGTTAGTAATACTAATTACAAGAATTCATTTTGAAATAAATAATCTATAAAAGATACACATATCTTTATTTAATTAAAAAAAAGCACCTTAAGCATAAATGACTAAATATATAATTTTTTCCCTTTTTCATATATATAGATAATTGGTTCAGCTAAATAATTAATATTATACTGGGGAATTGAATTATTGGAGCTTTTCAAAGTGAATAACAATTTATGCTTTTTATTCTCTTTGATCATCAATTAAATATATAATAGTACAAATATCAATTACACATATAATATGAGTATTAAGAAAAATTTTTGAGACCTAAGGCAATTATGTCTCACTTGCCTTATGGCTCACACGGCCCTGCCAGTGTTATTTTTTACTACAGATTCAGACATGCTTCTATATTCAGTTTCTTCAATTCCTCTGAATTAAAATGGGAGTTTATTCAAGTTTATAAATTTAATTACAATCGTTTTCATGATTTGAATACAAACCCGATTGAACAGGTCGAAACAACCATTTCCAACATATATTGTGGTTTTGTATTATGCCCCCATTGTTATTATATCTTTAAGCCCAGTAGATGGAAAAAGAGAAAAGAAAAAAAGAGGAAGAAACAGCAAATGCGAGAGTTAGAGAGAGGAAGTTCATCACTAGAAGAAAGTGAATCAATGAAAAATTGCTAGTTCCATCAGGTTATAGCATATGAGAGGATAGAGTATAGAATACATAATTCTCGAGTATGAAATTTAGAAGTTGAGGGGGCCTAAATTTTTTTCCAAAAAAAAATATATGTTGTAAAAAAAAATAACTTTTAGTGATAACCCTAAAAAGTTACCGCTAAAAATAAACAATTTATAATGACAGTAAAAATCACCATTAAAAATTTGACTTTCAACAACAACATTTAAAGTAGCCGCTAAAAGAAGGATTTTTTTAAAGTCATCGTTGATTATCAATATATTTTAAAATATGTTATAATTTCTTAAAAACTCCTGTTATAAAAAATATGTTATAAGTTTCGACGGTAACATATAAATTGCCGCTGAAAGTTGATAATCAGTGGCGATTTTGAATGTCACCTATAAAAGTTTGATTTTATATTACCATCATAATATTTTATTTTTTGTTTAATTTAATGTTTAACATTTTAAGACATTAATTTTGTTGTATTATTATAATTTTATAATGAATGTATAAAATAACATAATGATTTTTCATTTTATATATTTTATGATTAAATTATAACCTTATAATAATGAAATTATTTTAAAACAAGGTTAAGGTATTATTTAACCTAATGAGCTAGAGTAAATAATTAAGCCAAACCATATTATTTTATGTCATTTTTTTTATCAGGTAATGTTTGGTTTGATTCAGTTCAACTATTTAGGCCAGTTTGGTTTATTGATTTTGGTCAATTAACACAAAATCTAACTGAATTGACTAATATATGCCCCTATGTGAAGTAAAAAATTCATTAAAAAACCCAATGTTTGATATTTTAATTTGGAATGCATGTAATGTGGTAATGAGTCTCTATTTTCAAATGTTTTATTATTAATTTGATATTTTAAACAATTACACTACTTATTTATAATAATTAAACATGTAATAGTTAAATTTATTAATTTAAAGAACGATATTTCATCTAATCTAATTTTTAATTCAAATTTTACATTTAATACAGTAACTTTAAAGTTTGACGCCGGTTTAGATAGGGGTGAGCATCGGTCAGTTCGGTCTCAAAATATGTAGAACTGATCGACCAAATAACATTGAAAATGAAAATCGAATCGAATCGAACAAACCAATCAAACCGAACAATGACTAAACCGAAATTTGATAATTCAGTTTGATCGATTAATTTAGTTTTTTTGTTTTATATTAGGCTATTGAAATTTGGCTCATTTTTTTAATATTAAAACAAACAACACTATAAAATTGAACTTTTTTTTCTATTCATTTTTTCAATATGAGCCCATTTTGATTACACCCATATGACATAAAGCCCAAATACTATAAAGATATGGATAATTAAATAAACAATTTATAAAAAAGAGGGTTGAGAGTGACTAACCGAAATAGGGTTTCAAATGATATTATTATTTTTTATTCTTTATTAAAATAAAAAATAAAAATAAAACAAAATAATTTATAAATTAAATATAATTTATAAATTAATAAATTATATGTAATTCGATCAATTCGGTCCATTTGATTTTAAATTTTACTAACTGAATCAAACTGATTAATCAAAATATTTAAAATAAAAAAACTGAATCGAATCAAAAAATCAAATAGACCAAATCAAATAGACACAATTCGGTTCGATTTGGGTTAATTTTCAGTTTCAATTCGGTTTTGCTCACGCTTAGATTTAGATGTTTCCAATTTGATGACTAATGATAGGAAAGAGAAAGATGAAAAGAAGAAAAATGAGATATTCTAAAATTTATTTTTAACTTTTACAATATATGAAATATATCTATGCATGTGATGCTATATGATTTTTTGTTTGTTTGATGCTATCTTGTGACATAAATATAAAAAAAAATTAGATAACATAGTGTATAATTTTCTTATAAAATTATAATTTAAAAATAAAAAATAATTAAAAAAAAGTAAAATATAATGTAAAAATAAGCCAATTACATTACATAAGAGTTATTGTTAATTAAAAGTAAAAATAAAATTTTAAATAAAACTAGCTAGACAAATAAATAATTATGAACTAATGTATAATCATCTATATTTTTACTATTTATTCTTAGATATTTTTATATTATAATATAAATATAAATACTAAAATAAATATTATAATAACTTCAAGAAGTAAAAAAATTAAAATAAATTATACAAATGATATTGTATCAATTATATTTATAGTCTACTTTAAAAAAATAATATAATTTTCAATTTTAATAAATAAAAAGAAATAAATTGAAGTATTTAATGATAGTAATAATATTTTATAATATTTAATATTTAATATGTGTATGTAATATTTAAAAGGATACAGTGTATCATGTCATTTATATTCTATCTAATAAAATTACATCAATTCAATCACATGAAATCTTATGTCATTATTTTTAATAATTTCATTTTTGAAATAGAGTGTATATTTAATTTCATTTATTTCCCTATCATCATCACTGGAAAAATTAATTTATATTTTATAACTATTTGGTATGACATGTTTTTATTCGATAGACATAGATAACGTAGTGTTTAATGTCTATGCAAGAATTTCTCATACTAGTCTTATTAATATTAATTCATGAATATGATCACCAACCTCATTGTCTTGTTCTCTATTTTCTACATTAATTGGTACACTAGGAGAAGTTACTTCAAATTCACGTTTTTCATCATGTAAAACCAAACATATATATTTAGGAGGAAATGGCTTAGCAATTAAATGGCTCCGAACCTCCTTTCAAACATTCCATTTTCTAAAATTACACTTACACTACAAAAAAGAACTGTTGATTAGCGACGAAAAATTCTGTCGCTAATCATTGAAAATTCCATCACTAAATTGGTTAGTGACGGAATTAGCGACGGTAACATTCTGTTAATAAAAATACCGTCACTAATTAGTTAACGATAGAATTGAGAATTCCGTCAGTAAATTTGTCACTAATCTATCATTCTGTCGCTAATTTTTGGAATAGCATATTCCAACTTAGTGATGGATTAGCAACAAAAATTCTGTGGGAAATTAAAGATGAATTAGCGACAAAAATTTCGTGGCAAATTAGCAATGAAAATTCCATGGCAACTTAGTGATAGATTAGTGATGAAAATTCCATAGCAAATTAGCTACGAAATATCCATCACATATGTTTGTCAATTAGCGACAGAAGTTCCGTCGCAATTCCATCGCTAATTTCTGTATAATTTTTGAATTTTTTATTATATTTATAGGTAGCATTTTTTATATACCTAAATATTTGTTGATTCTATTAAAATCATTGTAAAACAAGCAATTTAAATTTACTAAATAATTATACCATAGATTAAACATTTCAAATTTACTAAAATAGCATAAGTCAGTAGCAAATTAAAATAACAATGTCACAAAGTCTAAAGAAAATTATGACAAAGTAGTTTCAATAAACAAGTCATAACAGGAGGCAACTAATAAGTATCATTTTTGCTCAAGATCCCTCGTCATTTTCAGAATCTGAATTTTCAAAATTCTTTGATATTTTTTGCTTCAATGCTTCCAACCTAGACAAGATATTCATATTCAATTCTCTAAGATCCTTGTTCTCTTGTCTAAGCTTAGTGACTAGCTCTTGTTGCTCTTGTCTAACCTCTGTGACTATTCTCCTATGCAATTCCTCTTCAAAATCAGGATGAAGCCTTGAGTTGTTGATGGATGAAGAGGACTTAATTATATGAATGAGAGGTAGAATCAATACCTAAAGCCTCAGATCCTAACCCATATATGCGACCCTTCTTGTTCTTACCACCTATGGCCTCTAACCATAGGTTAATTTCTTCTTCATTATCTAAATCATTTGATGCTACACTTAGAGAATCCATGTTGGAACTTCTAGATGCCTTAAGCCTCATATAATAATCTTGTTAAAGAAA